TAAAAACTTTGACAATAATAATGACAATAATTAGAAAATAATTCAATACTTACTGTTTGAAATATAATTGTAACAGAAAGGACAGCCTATGCTTCTACACTGGAGCCTCGTACATAAACATGAACGCTTCTTTACAACCTTTCAAAAAAGAACTGACAAGGGCGACTTAAATAACAAATGACAAGTTTTTTAATGACATAAAATTAACGGTTGACGTGAGTGGCGCGAAATACTTGAAATTTTGCACTTACAAATAAGTCCTCGGAATGGATCGAAACTGGTAACGTATAAATGACTAAACTACAATATTAAATTAAAAAGAATAAAAAGGAATATGAACCATATCTATGTATTTTTGGGGTATTTAATAATAATGGCAATTTTTTAGGTTTTTTTAATATGCAGGCTTTTCACTACATTAACTGAAACTTACCAACACGATATAGTCACGTTCCACGGAAAGGACAATATCTCTATTCAGATCAGTTTTTTGGGCGGTGTTTTTTTTCTTATTTTTTTTTTTACTTTAAGTACTGTTAGTTAACGTTGTGTACTTTAAAAATGTTACTTATTTTTACCATTTTTTTTAATATGGGAGAAAAAAATACACGTCACGCAAAGATTGTAGTTATTTTGAGAATAACCCACATACAAGTGTGATAAAATGTAAAAAGAAGTTATAATGGTATTGTAATAAAAAGTACCTATTAATTAGTAATTATGGATTACGTACTTTAAATTAAGTCAAAATTTGTTAACGCAACTTTTAAGTGTATTTACAACTTTTGTTTTTGTTATGTTTACTTTCATTGTAAAAAACTGCTTAAGCATGCTTATATATTGGATTTAACCGGTGTTAGTCTTTTTTTAAGGGATACATTTGGATTTAAACATAACAATGTGACATTTTGACTGGTGCCCCCGGTTATACAGATTCTCACCCATGGGGAAAAATCGTTTAAAGACGATCGTCTTTAGACGCGAATTCGTCCAATCGTCTTTCAAACGATCGTCTTTCAAACGATCGACTTTCAAACGATTCAATCGGTTGCGTAGGTTAGGCGGTCGGCTGTACAGACGAAATATATATTTGAAATTCTTCTCTATTATAATAAAGAATTTCAAATATACTTTGGAATATTTGGAATTGTCTATTATTCGAAGTAGGTAGGTATCGCCTTTAGAATTATTTTTTTAATTAATTTAATTAATAATTATGACAAAATAAAAATATTTTCTCATCGGTTAAGTTATAACTTAAAATTTTAATTAAAACGATTTTTTTTTTTCGACTATTATTTTAGACGATCGCCTTTTGTATCGTTTATCACTTTAAACGATCGTCTTTAGGGTCGGCTATTATTTTAGACGATTAAAGACGATCGTTTAAATAATTAAACGATTTCGTTTGAAAGTAGACGATCTTCTTCAGACGATCGTCTTTTTTACAAAAGATCGTTTAAAAAATTAAGATATATCGTTTAAAAATAGACGATCTTCTTCAGACGATCGTCTTTTTTTTAAACGATTTTTTCCCATGGGCAAGCTTCTAATTTGAAGGTAAATGGTTACTCTATTGTTTTATAGATGTTGCTTTATACAAATATTTAGTTTAAAACATTTTTAGATAATAATATTTATTTTAGAAAAAGTATGGTATGCAACTCGTTTATGAACTCTTCTAGACACTCATTTAAATAAAGATTCCCTCGCAACCTCGCTCGTGACTAAACTGTGGTTTATTAAACTTGATACATAACTTTACAGTAAAATACGCTGTCAATGATTTTACTATCAACAAAATTGGTGTCAATATTTTTACGAATACCCCTAACGTTTTTGCTTTCTTGTAATATGTAATAATAAATATTTATACTTCACGTTCATGTAATATTCACTTGTAAAGTGTTCTTATAATATTTATGTCATAAAAGATGTCAAAATTTGTCAGATTTTTTTTTATAATAGCAAGTACCGTAAACACGGGTGACTTTGCACCCCGCGGGTGACTTTAGCCCTTTTATGAAAAAATTTTTCTCGCTCAATAAAATCAACATTTATAATTTGTTGGTCTAAACCTGTCAATTGAGCGATTCTATTGAGTTTATATTACAGGAAAATCAGTGTTTTAAAAAAATAAATGGGATTTATTACACTTTAAAGTTGTATATATTGCATTAGTGCAAAACTCATAAAAATACACGAGTTTCAATTTCTATATTATGCGCAATTCTTTGGAATGATGATCCTTGGTTAACTACAGGTCGATTTTTTATTGTTTTTATCGGTAATCCCTTGCAATTTCTATATGTCGCTGCTAACATGTGTCTAATATTTATACGAAAAATACCCGCAACCAGGGAGTAACTTTGCACACCCAGTTTTTAATTTTTATTTTTGAAACTCAGCCCTATGTAAGATTATTATAGTTATTATGAAAGAGCAACTCAAGACTCAAATTTTGGTATACAATATTTAATGTTTATGATTATTAAAACTACAAAAATGTTAAGATTAAGTTTGAAAGTGAGCTAAAGCCACCCGTGTTTACGGTACATTACAAGTCAAATTTTCAGTCAAAGTTTAAATTTGCCGAAAATAATTTTTAGTTTATAAGAAAAAAAAAATATTTTTTTTTGATTTAAAAGTATACTTAATGATTTTAATTTAAATATTACATTGAAAATTTCGAAATAATTTTATATTATAAATCAAAAAAAAATATTTTTTTCTTATAAACGAAATAGTTATTTGTTTTACAAGTGTTGAAAATCGACTTTTTCATGCGAGTGTTCAAGTGTGCATTAACACGAGCTTGAAGAAAGCTTTTCTCACAAGTGAAACACAACGTTTCTTTTAGGACCCTTTAATTTTTTATTATATTTAAATACAAAACAAAATAACCTAAAAACGTGTTTGACTGGTGTTAAAATTCTTTCATCTTATTCTTTTAATTTTTAAGGTACAAGTTACTTAAAATCAACTTACTTTCTCAATTTAAATAAAGGCAGTAAAAACTAGAATTATTATTCAAACACAATTAATTGTGTTCTAAATGATATTTAGACATGCATATACAAATACAATACAAATTTTGAAACGAATGTCAAACAATGCTGTCACTTTCTTTTCACACAGACCTGTCACTTTTCACACAGAAATGTCACTTTACATTCGTGTTTTGCCTTGCCAATGAAAAGATTCATTTTCTAAGCAACGATGCCAATACGAAATGTTACTTTTACATAGTGGTTGTAAAAAAATTTAAACTTTGACTATTATGTCCCAAAAAGAAAAACAAATTCTGGAATAAATAATATGCATTCTTTTAAAGAAAATGGGCTTTTCAGAACTTAATCCGTTAAAAATTTTTGTATGAAAAACAAATTTTATATTAATTTAATAACTTAGTAAATATTTTACAAATTCATAAAACTGTTATAATTGTATTCTATATTTAATAGGAATAAACAGTGTACTTTATTAAATTGAATTTAAAAGTATATGCATGTTTTATTCGGCTTTGTTACATTTTATTCAAACCATTGCAAGGTAAATACAAGTAATTTCATTTAAATCATAAAAAATGTATAACCTTTTCCATCCACAATTGATAAGCAGAAATAATTTAGCGGTTTTATGTGCCCATGTCGAAACATAAAACTGACAGTAAAATATCTGCATGTGTAAAAATCAATAACCTTCTGTCGCAAGTTTAAATTGCAACATTATATATTTTTATTTTATTTTGACTGATATAGTGTTAACCATATATGGATACCTGTATCTATATGCGAGGTTTCAATTTAATTTTACAAATTATGTTATTCGCACGAGTTTGTCCTATGTATATAAACCTTTGTTTTGTGTGATTTTAATAAACACTCGTACTTTACTGAAATTTTACATTTAATTAATTTTTTTATTTATTTTCATCTTTGATACTTAATAATTAATAATATTATTAATAATAATTTCATTTAGGCAAAAAAAATTTATTTATTTATTTTTTTAAAATAATCATGTTGTTAACAATCAGTTATTCTGCAGGTTTGTATTATTTTAGTACCTACAATATATTTCCTAAAACTAATTTGGTACCCTAAGTTCTTTAATTTTTGTTATTCTTCTATTAAAGATTTCTCTTAATATGCTTAGTAATCCAGTTTTACAAAGTATTCGTTGTAACTGAAGGGTTTACCCATAAGCATGCCCGAACTTTAAATGTAAAAGTCACTGGGTTGAGAAAAAATAAAAATAGTTTTTATCTATAATGTCGATCCTGGTCCATTGTAATGCCAGTCTCACAACCTTGGTGAAAACATGTTCGTCCAGAGTAATATCATTAAAATTTGTAAAAAATAATTGACCGAAAGTTATCCTCCATAAAAAATAAGGATCGATGATGCCTTCGTGTCATAATCTACAACAAACAGTTGTGAATCACTTGTGGATTGGACTCCAACGACGGAAATTTTGACAGCAAATGTCTTTTTTTGTGGTCGCCGTGATTTTTTAAGATTAATAGTGCAGTATAATAAGGATATATAAATACTATTCTACTTTCTAAGACAATAAATTTTTATTTATAGATTGCAAAACAATTACAATCCTACATCAATTTGAGGAAAAATGGTTTCCTTAATATTCTGACCAAGCAATTTATCAACGATCGATGGGTCTTAAAGGCGTTAAAAAAGGTTAGATTGCATTATTACGTCATGTAATGCAAAGGTAGAGCGATTTATTATGTCCGAATAGCAAAAACACGTTTGTATCTCGCGGAAATATTGCAATAAATTAATAGGAACATCGTACTGTATACACAAAATTAAAATTGAAAATCACCGTAAAATATATTTACCCACTTTACATCATATAAACCAATAATTTTTGTGCGTTTATTACTTTCATGACAGTTTTAACATACAACCATTATTAAACAACAATTCATAAAACCTTAGGAAATGTAAATAACACAATTACACTTATTTAAATATTTAATATTCATCTACTAAAGCTTTTAGATCTCCACTTTTTATTTTACCAGTTAGAGTTAAAGGTAGTTCTTTTACAATTTTTAAACCACCTCTGAGCCTTTTGTAATCCTCTACTTGGGAGTCAACAAAATTTCTTATTTCCTCTGAAGTGGCTTTTGCATTTTCTTCTAAAACAACTACAGCAGTGGCATGATTTTTATCTATTGGATGCGGGTAACCAAAAACAGCAGCACGTTTAACGGCAGGGTGTTTCATAACGATTTTTTCAATGTCTAATGAAGCAATTTTGGGAAATTTACTGTATTTAAATATTCCTTTCAATCTATCGACGATGTAAAAACATTTATCTTCATCGTAGTAACCAATATCCCCTGTTCTAAAATAACCGTCTTCATCAAAACAATCCTTTGAATCCATTTTATAATAACCATTAAAGCATTTTTCACCTTTCATCAAAATTTCACCGCTTTTGTTTGGACCTAAAATTTCGTTTGTGTCCAGATCAACTATCTAAAAATGTACAATTTGGTTATCAGGTATTTTATTAAATATCTTTTTATAATATAAATGCTGTCTTTTATCAAGGATATAAAGCAATTACAACTTTTGTGAAAAATGAGATACTAGTAGTTTAAAAAATACAGTGGGGATTTTTTTAAATTATTGTTTGCAGTTGTTAATAATACCAATAGAATCTTAATAATCTAAAGTTTTCTTTTCTTTTGCATACAATGTCTTGAGACAAAATATTTATTTTTATTTGTAGACATGTTTTAATTATTTAGTACCACATTTAACTAATATCCTTACCTTAACACTAAGTCCTTTGGTAACCATACCAACAGAATTAAGTTTTTCATGCATGTATTTTCGTTGTGTTTTATCACGGATTTCATATAAAATGGTACCACCGTTGAATTCAGTTTGACCATATCTTGACATTACAGTAGATAATGGATGAACCATTTTTCTAACAGCAACCATACATTCTGCCATTGCGTGAAAACCACCTACCAGTATTAAACACAGACTATCTACGTTAAGGTGTTCTGGTTTCGGACATTTGCTTAATTCAATTAGACAATTTGGTGCTATGAATGTAGAGTTAGCCTAAAAAGTATATGTAGAGTCAAAACCTTCCTACTTTGAAAATTATTACAAAATCAAGCAAATTTATTTATATATTTATATTGTTGGATGAACAACCAGAAAGGAATTATTAAAATGTGAAAACTATTAAACTGACGTTATTGTCAAAAAATTTCAAGAGGAAAACCGGCCGGGTGCGGGTACTATGATCGACTATTTCAGTCCGTTCCAGAACTGCACTATGAATAATTCCGGAATTTTTAACATTCGACCATTCTAGACGTCAGCCCTAGGGAATGAATCAGCTACATCAATCTAAAGGACTCTACTGAACTTTCTAAAAGTAAGCCATTATTCTATAGATTCTATCGCTTTTTCAGTGTGCACTAGACTCAATTTTAACTTTTGGCACTCTAGTTTTTCACAGATTTGTTTCCATTGTGATTATAAAATCGTTTACAAATTGCACTAGAATCTCGACTTCAGAGTACCTATTTTGACTTATGGTCACTATTTCATCATAAAATTGGTTTTGTTGTGGTTACCATAACGTCTTCATATCGCACTATAGTTTCTCAATAAAAAGTTAAAATTCAAAGGTACCACATTATTGTTCATTGTGAACATATATTCTAAACTTGCACTAAATTACCTACAAAGCACTCTGGGTAAATAAGTTTATCTCTAAAATAAGTAAAGTTTACAATTTAATTTTTAGAGCTTATTTAACATATCTGTCCCTTTTCATCCCAATCAAATACCTTACATAGTATGCAACCATTGCTTAACATTCGGCCTATTTAATTCTGCAGTAAACACTAGTACTTTATACTTTTTTTCGTTCTTTGGTTTCTATTATCACTAGATTTAGCAGAAGACAAAGAAACTGATTTACGTCTTTTAGACATTGTTTTAATTGTGAAAAAATACCCCGCTCGTAATTAATCCACTATGGTGTTAGTGGCACACACAAAGCGCTTTAAGCGTCTGGAATTTCGGAAAATGCTAACAGGATTTAAATCCAACAAATATTGATGGTATACAAAGCCACAAAAGTAACTCGGTGAATATTCCTTTAAAGCTGTTTAAATTTTGCTCTTATAATAATATTTTTAGATCTGCGCATCTATAGATATATACTATAGACTGGGCAAAAAAAACAACTATTTATATTTGAAAATTTTATCGAAAAATTATTGTGAAAATTCCACACCTGTAATTTTTAACCAATCAAAACGTGTATTTTTGATAGATCACCATGGCAACGGTTGAATTTTAGTGGAAATTTTTTCCTCGTGCATGGGTACCCAACAGCGAATTATACTGGAAATTTTTTTGACGTTTATAATGACAGAATATTTTTTTGACAATCTGGTTTTTATTTGTTTACATGATAATTTTGATACATTTCCATTACAAAGTTTAGATGTTTTCTATATTCGTTGGACACCTCCTTTCTTCTTAATGGCGAAAATGCAGGACTTGAAATAAATTAAATGTCTATGTCTAATGAAATATATATAATATTTAGACACTATTCTATTCACCTTTTTTCCATTTAGCACTTTGAGTTTTGAATAGATGCAAATATTCGTGAACAATTCAAAACAAATTTTCTTTCTTCAAGTAGGAGCCACAATCCTCTAATAATGCGGGTAAATAAGTCATTGCACGATGATTGATCATTACAGCAGACAATTTCACATTTTTTTACGTCGTGCCGCTTGACAGCTTCAAAACTGAAATAACTTTTAGGTTGGGGTTGACTTAGTTGCCATGGTAACTAAATAATCAAGTAGAGGTCAAGTTAAATCAACAAAATAAATTTTCTCGATTTTTATGTAAGAATGTCATATTCTCGCACGCAAAATCGTTGAAGAATGAAGCTCATTCTTAAACGATTTTTGGTAACATTTAGTTTTTAAGTATTGGTACCCCCAAAATGTCAAACTGTTTAATAACCTCAAATTCATTACTTGAAGCCTTTATTATTGTTTTGTAATATTAAGTTTGCTCCAACAATGCATTTTAATGCAAAATTTTAAGTTTAATGTGAAAAAGTGCAGTTCAGGTTGTACTTATGCAGGATAACAAATATTGTCATTTTGTGTTGCCAACTGACATTTTGCGAGAAAAATCCCCCAACTAACAACGACCACAAAACAATTAAAAAAACCTAAATAAAAGTTAAAATCGAGAAAATAGTATAAATCACACGTTGCAGAAGGCTATTCTCGCACTCATTCGTTCATCCACTCGCTCCTTCGTCGCTCGAGGCCAAATTTCGAATTCGTGCGAGAATATGTGGCCTTCTGCAACTTGTACTTTAATATACTATTAATTATTTAAACACAATTTGGTGTGGAATTTTCTTACCGAATACCACACGAGTCTTTGACTCGGGATAATTTTCAAAATATTCATGAGCTCGAAAAAATTTCCGGAAATAATTTGACCTCTAGTGGTATTACTAGTGAAAGTTTGAGTCCATTATTATTATTATTATATTATTATTAAGAGTTCTTTTTTTCCGGAGCGAGTTTTTGTCTCTGAACTTCCTAACCATTGAGTTTAACTAAATTGATTCAGAAATTTTTTTAAGGAAATTAAATGCTTTACAAAAAAGTTTAAAATGAAATTTTCCGTCAGATAAACCGTTTCCTTAAAATCATGCCTTAAAAATTGGTATAGTTTTACATTTTGATCTTTTAACTTTGGAATTTTGTAATTCATGTAAAAATCAGTACCCAGAAAATAACCGATAAGTACTCTTATGGGAAATCAAATGCTTTACAAAAAAAGTCTCTTTGTAATTCTTGTAAAAATCAGTACCCGGAAAAAAACCGATAAATATTCTTAAGGGAAATCAAATGCTCTAAAAAAAAGTCTCTTAACATTTTTGGCTAAATTCACTCAATCAAAAGTTATTCAAGGTTAAAGTAAAGTCAAAACGAAATTCTTGATTTTTCCTCTGTAGATTTATTTTTTTTATGGATGACAAATGTGTATTGTATAACTAATTAAAAATTTCCAATAAAAAACAACATGATTGTTATTATTTAAACGATTAAATAGGTAACAGTAAAAATAATATTTTCTAAAGAAAATAGCTTCTTAAAGCCAAAAACCTCTTTTTTTAATTTTTAGTAATTTTATCAATAGCATAAAGATTATCATCGATAAAAGAATTCAAGTTTTTAAATGACCCAAAAAAAATTTAGAGCGGAAAATCAAGAATTTCGTTTTGACTTCAAATCTAACCTTAAATAACTTTTGATGGAGTGAATTAAGTCAAAAATGTTAGGAGACTTTTTTTGTAGAGCATTTGATTTCAGTTAAGAATATCTATCGGTTTAATTTCCGGGTTTACAAGAATTACACATTTCCAAAATTAAAAGATCAAATTGTAAAACTATACCAATTTTTAAGGCATGATTGTAAGAAAACGGTTAATCTAAAGGGAAATTTTAACCAAACTTTTTTTGTAGATCATTCAATTTTATTTAAAAAATATTCTTAAGTCAATTTTGTTAAACCCAATGGTTTGCGAGTTCTGAGACAAAAACTCGCTCAGGGAATAAAATCTAAAATTGCGATGATAGACCTCTTAATATTAATATTAATATTATTGAGTCAAATTTTCACGATAATGTTTTTTTGTCACCCTAAACATTGTTTAGTAAACAATATTTTTGATACACTTTACAAAAAAATAGTCGATTTTTTTGGCCCAGTCTAATATACTATATATATATATATATATATATATATATATATAGTATATAATAAATAAAAAACAATAATATTTTGGAATTTTAAAAATACATGAATTTTGAAGAGACCTTTTAAAACATAATAAACTAACATATTTCCAAAGGGGACTCGAAAAAAAAGTTTGGGCCGCCCCACAGTAGGCTAGTGTTTTATTTCGACCAAATTTAGGGAATTTTGAATTCTTTAATAAATGTAGATAATAAAACATCTTTAAATCACCTTCAAATCTGTTGAATTTTTATCAGGAAACCAGTCAAATTTTAGGAATTATAATTACTTGCTTTGTGTTGGTAAATTGCGCGTGAAGGTTTTGCTTCTCTATAACAATGTTAAGTAATTCCTAATTTATTTTTAATTTTTGACCATCATTGTATTCAATACTGTCATACGTTATGGCTGGAACAAATAATGGTAAGTTTTTTTAATTATTGTACTGTCCCTACGTCAATAAAGAAAGCGCTGCATATTTTTTATGTATGTATGAACAATACTAAGGTTTTAAAAAATGTCACGCATTCTCATACTCTGTGTGTTTTTAATAGCTTACTGTTCTGTCTTTTAAATAATTCTAAAATCAAATATTTTTTGTTTGAAGCATTTTAATAGTTGGTTTTAAAATACTAAGTAGACTATGCATTTACAAAAATAAATTTATCTCGGAAAAAACTTAATTTTTTTAAAAAAATATAGAAAAACGCTAAAAGCCCAGAAGTAATATTATTATATTAAATACTGTCTTACGAAGAAAATTGATGATTTTATTTTTTATCGCGAGCTTCTAATAGTTTTGAATTGTGGGTCGCCAGCCAAAAAGGTTAAGAACAGCTGCTATAGATCTTAATTTTGCCATCACACAAATATACTTTTGTTGTCAAAGTATTTTATTGTGGATTTGTTTTTCTATTGGTAGAAAAAAGTAATTTTTATTAAAATTTCATCAATAAGACCAAAAAAATTAACATTAACTAAGAATTATCTAACCAAATAATTTGTGCGCGTTAAATTGGCTCTCTAGCCACTGTGCGCCCTAATAATTATATTAATTACTTGTTTATTTGAAAACTATTTTGACAATGGGTATAATTTTATTTAAAAAATTAAAGGATAAGATTTATTAGGAAAACCTTACATGCAATGATGGTTAACTTACTTTATATTTATTAACAATTTCCCAGAATTTAACGCCCTCAAATTTGTCAACTACAATACGAGTACTTCCTTTATGAATCCACTGGGTTAATTGTGAAGATATCCAGTGAAGAGGTTGATAGTCTAAGTACCGACATCCATTTGAATATTGTTTTTTTAAATGAGCTAAAACTTGCATATCAGGGTCATCCGGATAAGAGTCAATAACTGACGCCAACATAGCATAATGACTTATACAAATAGGTTTTGGTAATCCAGTGGAACCACTACTAAAATATAATATAGCTGTATTTTTTATGTTGTCTATTTTTACTGGTTCAAAGTTTTCTTCATCAGATTGAAGTTTGACTATATCGGAAAAACTAAAGCCTTCTACACAATCATCAAAAACAATAAATTTTACACTTAAACTTATATCATGTAAATATTCTTTTAAAAATGTTAAACACTTGGAATCCGTAAAAATTATCTTTGGCTTTATACTTTTTAGTATGCTTTTAATATTATTTTCTGGGTAGTCATATGCCACGCAAGTTGGAATGGCTCCAATAAAATGACCAGAAATAAAAGAAACAACACTATGTACATGTTTTGGCCCAATAATTGCTATAACATCGTCCTTTTTAATCCCAATGTTTTGTAAAAATATTGATGTTCTTATGCATCTTTTTAACAATGATTCGTAAGGATCCTTTTCGTCAGTTTTTTCTACAATCTAAAAAATAATTATCACTAACAGAAAATATAATAATAATTCGAATCTATATTTACCTGTGCTATTTTATTTTGTAAAGCATATTCTTTCATTTTGTTAAAATAATAATATCCAATTCCTGGAATATTATTGGGGAGAATAACATCTTCAGTTGTAATTATGTTTTTGTTCATTTTTACAGAGTTTTAAAAATATAACAAAATATACCGGGTAGGTACTAAAAATGTAACAAGAATTTGAGATTGACTAATATGATATACACAAATATATATATATATATATATATATATATATATATATGGATAAATTACTTAAATAAATATGCTAATGGGTTATATTATAAAACATTGTTTGCATAAGCTTTGAATAACCTTATCATTGAAGCTTTTTAAAACAAACAAATGTAAATCTCAAAGACTTGTCACCTTGAAAAACAACATATTTTACTATGAAGCGTTTAAGTAAAATTAAACAAAATTAACTGGTTTTTATGGTTATACATAAGGGTAATTAAAAAAATGTTTATCTTATATTTAACGCGACGCCTTCTTATATCAAGTTTTCGCAAAAGAATAATTATATTTAAATTTTTTAATATTTTGGATAAAAATCTTAAAAAATTCTTTAAATGTTTAAAATCACATTACTTTACCTTTATCATTAAACATTAAAGTTTTTCTTTTCATAAAATGAAAATTATAGTATGCTCAAATAAACTTCCTCAGCACTACACTTTTAACACCCTGTATCTGGAAAACAAGGGTTTTTTCGGGTTATGATTATATGAAGTTTTCCTAATATTTCCGATTTTATAATTTTTCTATTAAGTTTGACAGGCTAATTTTAGGACACCCTGTATATAAATAATCAAATATTTTTTATTAATCCATTTCAATAAAATGTCAAAAACAACAATAAAACATGCGCATTTCCTTCGTGTAATGTGGTTAATCTTGAAATTATAACCATATAAAATAAAGTGTTGTGCTAATGCAAAATTTCTAAAATTGGTGTAATAAAACCTTAATTAACAATATAATTTGGTGTGTAGACATTGAAAGAAAGTTTCAACATATTTTTTAAAGAAAATCAATTTATTAAATAAATAAAGTAAGACAAACAATTACTTTACAAAATAAATAAATAGATATATGAAGTAAAATTATACAACAATGGAATTTGTTATGTCAAAATAAAATGTACATATTATAATAGTAAACATGAAATAATAATTATAATAAATAAGTAAATAAATGAAAAATTATAGAACCTCATCACTGTGTTTTGTTATAGATGAGTTCCTCACCAGGCACCGATAGACTGACTGTTTCGGTCCTTTGGACCTTAGTTTTAGTTGGTTTACTGCACATATTTAAATATGTGGGCCACTTATATTTATTTACTCCTTTACTTGATATTTTTCTTTAACTTACCTATTCTCTGAATCAGATGCCCATCGGTCGTTTATGTACAAAGACTTTTTAAAGAATGTTTTGGAATCCTAATTATTTAAAATTATGAAGCTTACATTGAACACGACGATCCCAAGCACAAAATGGTCAAAAAATGGTTGGAGCAGAAAAAAGTTTCCGTAATGAGGTGGCCGGTTAAAAGTCAAAATCTAAATTTTATAGAAAACTTTTATTCGAAAAATCCATTTGATTTTGCAAATTATTTATTTTTTATAAGATAAAATTGTTTATTGATTAAAACAGTAACTTATTGACTAGGTCTTTATTGTTCTCGTCAAAATTTAATAATAATTTAATAATAGTAAATATGGCAGTATATATATTTAAACCAATACTTTATATTAATTTTACGTTTCTTAATCTGTGAAAAGGGAAGAAGAAGATAGGTTTCCATCCACTAAAGCCTTTAAATCTCCAGTTTTGATTTTACCAGTTAGAGTTAAAGGTAGTTCTTTTACAATTTTTAAACCACCTCTGAGCCTTTTGTAGTCCTCTATTTGGGAGTCAACAAAATTTCTTATTTCCTCTGAAGTGGCTTGTGCATTTTCTTCTAAAACAACCACAGCAGTAACGTGATTTTGATCTATTGGATGCGGGTAACCAAAAACAGCAGCACGTTTAACAGCAGGGTGTTTCATAATGATTTTTTCAATGTTGGATGAAGCAATTTTGGGAAAATTGCTGTATCTAAATATTCCTTTTAGTCTATCGACGATGTAAAAACATTTATCTTCATCGTAGTACCCAATATCTCCTGTTCTAAAATAGCCATCTTCATCAAAACAATCCTTTGAATCCATTTTATAATAACCATTAAAGCATGTTTCTCCTTTCATCAAAATTTCACCGCTTTTGTTTGGACCTAAAATTTCGTTTGTGTCCAAATCAACTACCTAAAAATTTATAATGTTACTTTTTTGAAATATCAAAAATGGCATATTTTTTATCGTTTGTTATTATTTGTATTTTAAATTATAATTTTAGTTAAAAAAACGTTGATGAATCTTGCCTACACATAATATGTAATTTTTATATGTGATTTTTCGTACCACTATGGAAAATCTAGGTTTGATTTGCATGAAAAACCCATAACTTTTTTATTTATAAAAATAGATCGCTAAAATTTTGTACATATACAGCGTGCCCCATAATTAGCGTGCAATACTTTAACAGCGGATTCTACGTATAAAAATAAGAAAACAAGTTCGTATAAACATAGGTCGAGAAATGATTCCTAAGGGACCTACAGCCCCCGAAAGAGGAGCCCCTGAAACAGGACTCTTTATATGCTAACCATTTAATACAAGAAAACCACAAATTTGGCAATAACTTTAGAGTCTTACATATAGCCAATAAAGGCACCAAACTTAATCTTCTGGAATATTTGGAAATTTATTAACTAGAGAAAAAAATCGGATATGTTTTTTAATTACCAAATTGAAATCAACAACTCTCCTTTGCTAAATTTATTTTAGAATGTATACCTGTATTATTAATAATATTTATTAATATTGTAACATTATACTACATTATATGTAATATTTATTAATATTGTAACATTATATAAGATAGGACTTTAAAACTCCATGTATGTTTATACAACACGTATTTTATCAAATACCTGCATTATCTAATATAAATACCGCCACTTGATAAAAATTAGTACTTATTTTGAATAAGCTACCATGTAGCGAAAAATTTATTAATTTGTTTTTTATAAACATAAGTAAAATAGTAAAACTTTATAAAAGTGTTGTTTTTATTAATATATTAATTCATAATAAAACAAAGAAAAAGATTTAGCGTAAGCCTTGGAACATGGATGCCATCTTTAGGAAAAAATATTCAAGACAGGTGACCGTTTCTTGTAAAAGTGACTGGTTGTTTAAAAAATGTGTTTAAAGCTTATTAACAAGAAGATTTATTAAGTACTGTTTTTGAAAAATAAAAACATTTTACAAACCGAAAGCTCGCAAACAACCACTTCGTTTATAGATTATGTATAGGTCGTGCTCTGGCGCCTGAATATGATTACCGAAAACGATTTCCCCTCATACATCAACATTTGACAAAACAATAGCAACTTTAAACGTGCTCAAGGGCAGGGGCGACCCCATAGGAATCATGAAATTAAAAATGCCTTAAACCATTTTGACAATGACCCAAACACGCATAAGAACGGTATCAAGATTAACACAAATGCGGTATGCGGTCAACATTAATGACGGAATCAACAGCTACACGGAGATAAATGTATAGTAAATTTTAGATATATTCGTCAATACAATATTAAGATTGTAATACAAAATACTATTTTTTATTATACAATTTTAGTAAAGATTACAACACCAATATTACTAAATCATAAATGTTTAATATATATTGTAATTTTTAATATGTTCGTATAGTAAATTGATTTTACTATCTACAAATACTAATATTTACTATATGATTTAATCAAATGTAAGGTGTACATCTAATATTATAATATATTACACATTAATAAAAAATATAGTAAAAATAAAGGTACTTGTATGTTTCAGGTAAATAAACAATATATTTAAATATAATATACATTATAGTAACTCATGACATTTTAAACATTCAATTTTCTTAGTTTCTTTAATAAACTTTCTTGAGCCATTACTGGTAATACTTATAAGAAAGAATTGAACCTACTTGGTTGCATAGTATGTAGTACATTGGTAAGCCAACAGAGGCGAGATGTAAGAACATCACGTGATCCACACCGTCTACGACGCGTCGCGACGTGGCCTTTACCGCAATCGGTACATAGTATGTACCGATTGCGGTAAAGGCCACGTCGCGACGCGTCGTAGACGGTGTGGATCACGTGATGTTCTTACATCTCGCCTCTGTTGGCTTACCAACCATGTTATATAAGCTCAGGTATTTATTTGTTTTGGGTGTGTTCAACTACTACAAGTTGCTCGTGTCGTGTCGACACTGATGATACCCAATGTAGGTCAAAACACCTGTCTGTCGGTATTTGAAGTTGATGGAACGCAAAAAACTTTGGCGAGGTGTAGGTTCAATTCTTTCTCATAACATTTTTGTGTATTAAAAAGTACAATAAATATGTTACAATTTTTAATTGTTAACATATAAAAATATTCGATTATAAAATATTTTATATTTAAAATGGCAACATAATATTTTAAGATTTACTATACTTATTAGTAATGGAAAAAATCTAATTATGATAAGAATTAAAAACAAAATTGGTTGAGAATAATAATATTTTACCTTAAGGTTAAACATACATGGATATTTAAAAATTACTAAATATGCATAGTATCTGGCAATATACAAGATAGTTGTCCCAAATAGTAATATAAATTATAGTAAAGGGTATTATAATTATGGTAATCAGCATTATACTTTTCTCTCCGTGTAAGAAACAACACACAAGGGTAGTCAACGCATCGCTAAGGCCCAGTTGTATAACAGTTGGTTAACAGCTGATTAGCTGATTAACTCTTAAATTTAATTTAATTTAATGTTTAGCGGTGCTCCGTGACAGACAAAGTGTACCACACTTAGATAATAACTAAGTGTAGTACACTTTATCAGTAACGGAGCACCGCTAAACATTAAATTAAATTAAATTCAAGAGTTAATCAGCTAATCAGCTGTTAACCAACTGTTATACAACTGGGCCTAAGAGAAATTGCTTATTGATACGGTCCAAAATTGCATGATTGTCCACTTCGCAACGCGTCGCATAGATTAAACTAAGAAAAATGATCCTACTAAAGAAATTGTTCTTAATAAAAAGAACCATCTTCTTCTTTAATGACCTTATTATTAAAGGAAAATACAAAAGTAAAGAATTCATGACAGTATTACATCAGAATCTACCATGTGAAGTATTGTAAAATAAGAGTTGTTAATGATACAGCCGAACAGGGAATCCGTCTTATTTAAAAATACAATTAGTTACTGACCAAGGACGAAGAATAAATTTATTTATTCTTCGCCTAGTCGCAAATAACCGGAAACAGTTTCCTGAGTCATCAAGTCTAGGGAGACCGGGGCAGCGAGAACCCCTTAAGAATTTTTTTAAAATATTTCAGCTATATAGGTATGAAAGTATAGACATAAGCAATTTTTTCGAAAATATATATAATATGGTCTAACTAATTTAGTACAAAACCGAAAAAAATGTAAAATTTTTTGGTAAAGATAAAAAAACCAATTTTATTACATTGGTCCTCCTTGTCCCGGGTATCGGGGTAAGAAAGTCCACCATTTGAAACACCTGCACGCATTAATAATAATACCTCTTGATAGTTTCTAACGAATTTATTAAATAAATTAATTAAATAAAAACAAAAAAGCAAATTCTGTTGCGCCCTGCACAAATTGAAAATTTAAAAATTATTCGCACAGCTCGCAATTGAAAAAGTAATCTTCTTCTACCCCCGCACATTCTTCGTGGGCCCATTGCTCACAACTTGTGCACTGGACCCAGTCTCCTCCAACTTTATTTTTTGTACGGAGTTATAAATACATAAATCATCCACGGTCCTGCTTGCCCCAAATTAAGTGGTCCTCATTACCTCAAATGTCGCTAGGCAGGAAATCATCTCGTAACATTTTTCCATGCAATAGCATTGGTAAACCAATAGGTAAGGTTTGAAGCACATTTAATATGGATCACTATTATAGACTGAGTTTTCTTTAATTCCCCAGTAGTTTCTCAGGAATGGACAATATTGCGATGAAAAAGTTAGATCAACATACCATGAAATTTTGATTTATTTGTAGAACTTTCAAACAGCTGCTTATGGTTGGAAGCCATTAACACAGCACTGACATGAAGTTTTGGCAACCTTCTAACGTGAAATTTTGCACCAAATTAAAACGTACTGTGCGGTAGACCGGTGGTACTTATTACCCCGGTGGACCTCGCTGCCCCGGTCTCCCCTATACTCTTTCTATTTCGATAGAAATTAGTTGGTAGTTTTTTATTTAAGTGTTTAATTTTTTAATTTTCCTATATTTAATTATGTCATTCAATTTCGAAAAAAAATTGTGCACTACATAGTTAGGTGTCATAGAATAAAAAAAACTTAATAAAATTAAAATTAAATATAATGTTGTTTTTTATCAACTTTCTTAAAATGAAATAATCAAAATTTTACTATTTGAATTAGTACCAGCATTGTTTACTAATAAAATAGTCGTTTTCACTTTTAAATAGTTATTTTTTACTACTTTAATAATTTTTATTATAATAGTTTGAATTACTAACATTGAGTGCGCCCACCTATATTCCCTAATTCTGGTCAGCTGATTTCAACAATGCCACTCGTTTTGCCCCAGGACGTATAGAATACGAAATAATTGCGTAATAAAATGCTCTGCCCAAATATCTTAAAATGAAAGTTTTTTCGTTAATATTTTGATTATTTATTAAATTATTTTGCCTTTTTTATGTACCAAGTCCCTATATTTTTAACGTTTTTTGTCAAAAATATACAGAGACTATTCATATTTTAATTTGTTTGTCCATGGTAGCAGTAGTAATATTATATGAGAGATATTTAGTAAAGCTCTTCTCTGCAAGTATCATTTTTTGAAATATTTGTGTTTTTTTATTACTAAATTAAAAAGTCAACAAAGTAAACAGGTTTCGGTGTAAACATTTTTATTCACATCATGAATAAAGTACCCAAAAATTCAATCTCCAGTCTTAAATTTATTGAAGAAATGCCCTCAGATTTTCAAGGAATTGACGTGAATATGTCATAAAAATACATTTTCTTTATTTTTATCCCGATAAATTTGCTGGTCAATCACTTACTGAATCTGATAAACATGGAGAACGATTTCACCAAGTAACTGAAAATCTAGAGCATTGGTATAGCGGAAAAATGTTGGATTCATTGCTAGGAGATATTTGCTGAAATTTGCAGCAAAAGACGTACTACAATGATAAGACTTGCACATTAATACTATAATTCAATTCGACATTTGATCCGATATAATAAATTTAAGATTGATAAACAGAAAATAACATACATTTTCATGAGGTCGGGTTTCCCTTAAAGCAAAACTATGCAATGCAATTAATTTTGAGGGCTAAATGTGGATAAAAAATATTAAATAATAGTCAAAAATAATTTGCATACCGAAAATTCTTTACTTTTTGTCCTTTTCAATGCAATAATTAAAATAAACGACAATAAAAGGAATGGAAGCGCAAATTTGTACTTTTCGCTTGGTTGTAGAAAAAATACATTATAATTTTAACTTTAGGATTAAAAATGGTATACCGTTAAGTTAAATATTAACTATTTGACGTATACCGGTTACTTTAGTACATTTAAGGCAAAATAATCCAATAATTAATTAAAATATTAACAAAAAAAACTTGTGGTGATGGACCAGAGCAATTACGCAATTATTTTTAAATCCTAAAAGTCCTAGAGCAAAACGACTAACATTTTTGAAATCAGCAGCCCAAAATTAGTTTAACTAGGCCGGAGTAGGTACTTAATGTTAGATAAAAAATTTCTAAAACTATCATAATGTAATTGAGGAGCATCCGTGCAAAACCGGCTAAATCCATTTTATTTAGTTTTTGTTCTTTTTGGATTTCGCATCTTTGAGCAAAACCGGCTATATACAAAACAATTTTTGAAATTTTGGCCTTAATATAAAGTTTTTGAAAACGAAAGTATGTCTTATAAATCAAGTACCACAAAGCTCACAAAACTTAAGTTTGCTTTTTTCATCTGTAAAGGCCAGGAAACCGAGAGTTTTTGCCATTTTCCCAACATTTTATTAAAGTGGATATAGCCGGTTTTGCACGGATGCTCCTCAATTAAAGTTTGACTAGTTTAAAATAAGTCACCATCTTTGACTACTAATTTGTATATTTAATTCGGTAGCATTTGACTAATTATTAGTGACTGCTTTCTCGCTATGACAATTGTTCAAATAGGACTTATATTAAGTCATTTTTTATAAATTCATTTTAAGAAAGAAGTATATAAAACAACATACATAAAACTTTTGACATTTGATAATAATAAATTCATTATCTGCCATACTTAATATTTATATTTATTTATGGATTTATTCTAATTTTATTTACCTAAAAAAATAAATTTTATTACCTTAACACTTAGTCCTTTTACAACCATACCAACAGACTTAGGTTTTTCATTTAAGTATTTTCCTTGTTTTTTATCACGGACATCAAATAAAATAGTACCACCGTTTAATTCAGTTTGGCCATATCCTGGTATTACAGCAGATAATGGGTGCATCATTTTTCTTACAGCAGCCAAACATTCTTCCTTTGCGTGAAAACCACCTACTATTATTAAACATAAACTATCTACGTTAAGGTGTTCTGATTTCGGACATTTGCTTAGTTCCATTAAAGAATTTGGTGCTATGAATGTCATGTTTACCTGAAAAGTATAGTTTGCGTCAAAACTGCCTTTTTATTGTAAAAGATGCAAAATTTTGCAAATTTATTTATATATGTATATTTATCTACTTATGGACTCGAGCAGCTTTACCAGAAAACGTAGCAAGGTTTTAAATCCACTAAGCACGCGCCATAAAATATTGCGGGTATATGTAGGTTTAAAATCAGAAAAGTAAAGCGGAGAGAAGAAAACAGTTACCAATGATGCGCAGAATACTAGTATACAATGTCAATGTACTATTTGAAATCATACAATTTTTAATATAACCTTATGGGTTACTTTATCAACAGCAATAAATATTTTTGTTACATTAATGAGTAGTGGAATGCAACTATAATAGTGGCAATATTCTGGACTTTTAATATAATTTCCAATACTGTATTAAGTGGATTACTGTTCTGCGCATCAATGATTACTTTTTTTATTTTCTCCTATGGAGCATTCATTTTAAAACTGTTTAAAAGATGTTTACTCTTATAATTTTTTTTTTGTTTTACCTAAGTTTTGCGAATTTATTTTATGATAAATAGGAAACAATATTAAATGTTATATTTATTACCTATTTATTAAATTTAAGGATTACGTTTATTAAAAAAAAAATTACATACAAAAACTTGTTTACTTACTTTATACTTATCCACAATTTCCCAGAACTTAAGGGCCTCAAATTTTTCAACTAAAATACGAGTGCTTCCATTTTGAATCCACCCAGATAATTCTCCAGATATCCAGTAAAGAGGTAGATGATCTAAGAACCGAAATCCATTTGAAAATTGTTTTTGATAATGATTTAAAACTTCCATATCAGGCTCTTTTGGAAAAGAGTTTATAACATTCGCCAACATAGCATAATGACTGATACAAATAGGTTTTGGGGGTCCGGTTGTACCACTACTATAATATATTATAGCGGTATTTTTTATGTTGTCTATTTTTACTGGTTCAAAATTTTCTTCGCCAGCTTGAGGTTTGATTATATCGAAAAAATTAAATCCTTCTTCGCAATCACCAAACACAATAAATTTTGCACTTAAACCTATATCACGTAAATATTCCTTTAAAACTGTTAAACACTTAGAATCCGTAAAAATTATCTTTGGCTCTATACTTTTTAGTATGATTTTAATATCATTTTCTGGGTAATCATATGCCACACACGTTGGAATGGCTCCTATAAAATGACTGGAAATAAAAGAAACAACACTATGAACATGTTTTGGCCCAAAAAGTGCTATGACATCGTCCTTTTTAATTCCATTTTTTTGTAAAAACATTGATGTTCTTATACATCTTTTTAACAAAGATTCGAAAGAAACCTTTTCGTCAGTTTTTTCTACAATCTAAAAAAAGATTATCATTTAACAGAAATATAATATTAATTGGGTTCTATATTTACCTGTGCAATTTTATTTTGTGAAGCATGCTCTTTCATTTTGTTAAAATAATTATATCCAATTCCTGGAATATTATTTGGGACAATAACATCTTCAGTTGTAATTATGTTTTTGTTCATTTTCACTGATTATTAATTAAAAATATAACTGTAACAAAATATAAAATTCACTGATACGACTCTTAAAGTACCTATTACAATAAAAACTAAGATATTTATATCTTTACATTTATAGATAAGATACTTCTAAATATGCTAATGTTATAATATAAATTAATCTATACAATTCACGGCCACGTTTTAAAATTGTTTTTAAATAGATGGCTTCTTATATACTCTCATATAGTTATCATTGATGTTTTTTAAAACAAACAACTGTAAATCTCATTCACTTTTAACCTTGAAACGCAAAAAAAAATATTTCTTCTACTCCCACCTTTAAAACGCCAATTATCGTACATGTTTCCATGACACTGAGTGACCTTTTAAATACACATTGTCAAGTTGTGGCTTTATGACCTTTTGGTCACGGGCTAAACTAAGCAACAGGTTTTTAGTCACAGGCTGAAGTTAGTTTTAAAGTTAGTTGAGAGTTGTTGAATGTCATAAAATCGTTAAAATAAAGTGCCCTTCTTGTAAAATAATACTGTTAGATTAATTAAAACTAAACCCTTTTAAACCACAATTTTATTACAAATTTAAAATGCCAAATCAGGCTTACAAAATTAAATGTGCGTAGCGTTCTGTATCTCAACAAAGAATGTCCCGTTTTCTCGACCTCGTTCCCCAATTCCGTCACTGCTCCTCTTTGTACTTCTAGACTTAACAACCATTAGGCACGTATCAAGATTAAACGTATATTTGGCGAATTCCACATTACTGTTGCTAACATTCGGCCAATCCTGACAATTAGAGTGTCCTCACTCGACCCTGAGTGCCCAAACCAGTCTAGAATCACCTGTGACGGTTAACTCTTTTAACGAAATCCAGAACTCTATAAGAAAATAATTTTTATTAACTAGTAAAGACTCCAATTTAATTTTAAGAACAACTACAACTAATAATCATTCAGCCTTTATGCACAGTGTCCCTTAGAAAAAAATAGGTATTTTAAAAATGTCAACGAAATCTCTTTATGGATACTTATTGTGAACTATTTGGCAGCACCAAAACAAAGTTCGGTTAAATCAAAGCTGATCGGTTATAAACCTTATAATTTATTTTAAATATGAATATTATTTTCTTGCTATCTCTTTATTAATGCTGATGATATTATAGTACCTTTGATAAATAAGAAATTAAATTAAGGGTTCAGAATCGTTTAATTGAATAAAAAAATAACAAAATTTAACACAACTTACAATTACAAATGTGTAGAAGAAAACTCTACAACTGCTTTTAACAAAAAATCACCGTATCTAAGGTCGTTAACATTGTTTAATTTATATCTGCTCCATGATTTTAAAAACTCTCGATAAAGAGATTCTCCCGCATGTTCTGACCATAATCCAAGACCCCCATGGTTAAGATAGCTTAGGTATTTTTCAAGATGATTAAGAGCGATGTGGATTTTTAAAGTTTCCGAAATTCCAGTGGCTTTAAAGGTTTTTCTTAAATGGACAATGTTCTTCTTGAGTTCCTGACCAACGCGACTAGAAAAACAATCTTCAACAACTTTGTTCATTGCCTTTAATGCTGATATTATTGGAACAATTTGTAAAGGGCTAACTTTTTTACGAATGACCTTAATATCGAGAATACAATCAGAATTCTTTAAAGGCTTTCGGCATGCATTTCCTTCAAAAATTTCACCCTGATAGTTTTTTTTATATAAGTCCTAGTTTTTTTGGCCAATTAAGGGCTTCTTCTCTTCCCACGAGTGGTACTAGTCCATCCCAAAATAGGTGATTTACAAAGCCTTGCAAAATGTGCAATTCTGGTACAATACATTTTTGAATAATAAAGGTCTTACCTTCTTCCCCAAACATAGGTATATTTACGGTGCTAAAACATTCTTTAGCGACTTTTTTTATTTTTGCTTGGAGAATAAAATTTATCGAAATGCTTGCTAACGTCTCCATAAGTTCTTAAACACATCGTTTGAGCTTCATAGGTGGGATCTTCAACATTTGTGGGTTTATCTTGAAACCTTAGTTCGTGTAGTGATACAAAGCAATAAGGACACGGGTACGTTGCAGTTGCTGTCTGAAATCCATTGACGAGGAGGGTTGGGTTGGGTTGGTTTAGGTCCGAAACAAACTTGAAGGAAATTTTGTTTATTTGTGTAAGATCAAATAGAAATTTAATATTGTCGTAACTTTCTTTTATTTGAGGGACCATGCATAAAATTATTAATCTTTGTACTCCACTTAGTTAACCTCTTTTTCCTGCTTTTCCTCCTTCTGCATATATAGATCGTTTACCTTGATCCATTGCATTTAGTTCGCCTTCTACTATTTCTTGGTTTCCAGCTAAACCTTTATTTAACACAGAGGAGTAATTTTCCGGTAAAATCGTCAAACAAATTTTAAAAAAACCTTGCCCTACATCAGCCATAACTTTAATTTCAGGTTTTCCAATATAGTTCCTTTTTTCAATAACAGCCTTAACCTTCAGCATCTGCCCACACTATAGCCCGATTTTGTTTTTCCCTCTTTGCATTGATGTCAAATTCGTATAAACCCTGTTTATAAAAACTGCTTAACATTTTTGAATTTTCACTTGCATGAAGACGATATTTAGCCGCAACTGAATTTTTTCCTGCGCACAACCTAATAAAGTTTGTTAAGGTTTCCATTTGGTTTAAAGAAGAACTTGTGTTTGATTGGAAATTGGAAAACAATTGCATATTCGGGTGGTGTTTCTAGTTTTAGCATGCAAGACTATTTGGTCAAATTGAGGAGTCACGGGGAAATTTCTCTTCAACACATCTTTTTCTCTATCAAAGAGAACAAGGCGACAATTTCCACAAATAGACGTGGGATATCTTGAGTCCCTTTTATCAAATTTATGCGCATGCGAATACTTACAAATAAGCTTGTGCAATTTTTCTGTCAAGTTAAACACTGACGCTTTGGACTTCTCAAATACGATTTTAGAACCACACAATATACACACTTTTCGTCGATTTTCTTCATGGTCCGCTTCTTTCGGCATTATCAATTTAAATTTTAATACTTAGTCTTTGTATATGATTTTTTTTGCTGGAGTTTTAAATGACGGTTTCAAATATTCAAGATGTCATTTTGACACTAGCCTACTTTATTGTATTGTCACTTTCCACCTTTTTTTACAGTTATTCTTAACCAGTGACAAAAACTTGAATTTTGGTAACACAGTAAAAAAAATGCCAACAGATTGTTTTCCGATCAGCTTTGATTTAACCAACACTAGTTTTGGTTCCGTCAGAGAGTCCATAAAAGGAATATATAAAGGGTTTTCGTTGACATTTTTGAAATACCTATTTTTTGCTAAGGGACACTGTGTATGACGCCAACTCCGGCCAATAGCCACCTACCTAAAAAAAAAAAGGTAAAACACACTCGGCCGAGTATAATTTTAAACAGTACTAATTAAATGTAATACAATAACGAGAATAATAGAAATAAAGGTAATATATAAATCTTAAAGCTAATAATCACCCCATACGTATGTACCAGTGACCCCAGGATATACAAACCACGACCTCTCAGTAAAAGCCCCGGATATGTTCTATGGTCCACGTACCCTCACTGCATTTACCTCGAAATCGGGAAAGTACACCTGACATGACTCAGCAGTTCTATGGTCCACCGCTAGTCATACCCAGTAGTTCTATGATCCACTACTGTCAGTTACCACCTTCCTCATCAAATACCATCCAAGGCCGGATATTGTCAACCGCCGCAACTCCTGTATACTTTAGCCGCGAACGAGTGCTGCCTGGGATGTCGGACACCTTGTAGCGATCGTTTTCCAGCACCTTGGTGATTCGAAAGGGACCCCTCCATTTTGGCAACAATTTTTGGCTGCTCCCTGTTGCTGCAGTTCCAGTCATCCGTAGTAAAACAAGGTCGCCTTCCGCATAAGGATGAGCTGCAGTCCTAGTCCTGTCAAAACGTCGTTTCTGCTCCGCCTGATATTTATCCTGCTTCTGTACGATGCTGGCACATACAGCGGTGACGTCAACCACTTGCCGCTCTACTTCCATGCGTCCCTGTAAAAATACTCTAAAACCCATTAAAGCCTCACTGGGGGCCACCCCAAGAGCCTTATTAATTGTACCATTTAGACCTAACTGTATATTGACAATATTTTTATCCCAAGTATCATCATCGCCGTTTGCGCCCATGGTAGTCAATGAGTCTAAAATTGTACGGTTATAACGTTTGACTTGGCCATTCGCACGTGGTACTGCGACTGCGTTTAAGTAATGTTTGATTCCCTTGGTATTGCAAAAATTTTCAAATTTTTTACCAGTAAATGACTTTCCCCTATCACTTATTATACGCCTAGGAACTCCAAAAACTTTTATCATATCCTCAAAACAGCGAATTGTGAATCGTGATTTTGTACTTTTTACCGCATATAATAAAATGAATTTTGTAAAGGCATCTATTATTACTAATAATTGAGTGTTACCAGATTTTGTTTTCACGAAAGGTCCGAGGTGGTCAACATGAATCGTATGAAATGGTACTGGGATTTTTGGATTTGGATTATTGGATGTAAAAATCCAGGTGATTTCCCTTGAGGTTTTATAAAATATAAACAATTGAGGCAGTTTTTAACATATTTCTTAATAAAATGGCGCATACCTTTAAACCAATATTGACTCGCTAACAATTCGTATGTTTTTTCAAATGCGAAATGTCCTGACTCATCATTCTAAGTACTTGGAACCTGGCAAATTTTGGTACAACCTTTATGTGATGATAACTCGAATAGAGATCGAGAGAAATAAAATATTTAAAGCCAGATAAACGCCCCAAAAGTTGTTCTATAATTGGTAAAGGATAATGCTCTGGAATTGTATTTTTATTAAGAGGCCTATAATCAATACAAAGACGTTTTTTTCCGTTTTTCTTTGTAACCAACAAAACTCTACTAGCGTATGGAGAATTAGATTCACGCACAATACCATTTCCCAACAATTCGTCGACCATCCCCCGTATAACAATTCGTTCCTGATCTGAAAATTGCCACGGGCGCGACGCAATTGGTTGACTATCAGTTAAAGTAATTTTCATTTCGGTCAATGACAGGGGCGTGCTGGGCCGCCGGGACACCGGGAGAAATCCCGGTGGGCCGGTGGTCCGGAGAGCTAAGTGGGCCGGTGTGCCGGAGGGCTATGTACTGTCCGTTCAGGCTAAGTTGAGCGGTCTAAGGAATGTCACCCCGTCCATCATCTCTATGTTCAGGCACAATTAAATACATGTATTTAGGTAGCCGCTCTGTACGAACAAATGGCAAGCCGCGGCACTGATAAATCGTCTTCTT